TTTCTGACGAATCCTTTGATGGTTACATTACAAGCTAGTACAGGTGGCGACTAGTTCGACTGTGAGCACAGTCTTTGCAGAATTTTGAGCACTTTTTAGCTGAGCATTCCAAATGAACATTTGCTGGACTCAAATAACGAACGATGTGAGCATTACATTAAGCCGCGTACAGACCGAGATTCCAACGCAAGCCAAGGCACATGTGGTTACAGATTTGTAGGTGTTCGTATCGGTGTGTACAGCGCGAGCCAACATAAGCCGAAGGTTCCAAGATCGGTATATCAAAAGGAGGTTTGATTTGGTCCGGACAATAGTTGTTGCGCTTCTAGTATTTAGTCGTTTAACTTAACCCCCCGGCGGCAATGCCGGCGGGTTACGCGGCTTGCCGGCGTCACTTCGTTCCTGGCATTCGAGCGGTAGTGTTGTGCGGTTTGTGTGTTTAAAATGTCGTTTAATTGGGACGACGAAGTTGTGCTGCTCTTAATTGAAAAATTTCATGAAAATGATATATTATGGAATCCCAGAAATGCAGACTATAAGAATAGGAACAATCGACGCACTGAACATAATTGCAAGTGTATTTGACATTGATAGAGGCGAAGTAGAGAGAAAGTTAAAAAATGTAACCTCTCATTATTTTCGGGAAAAAAAGAAGTTCGAACAGTTGCACAAATCTGGTGCAGGCATAGACGATGTACAGAAACCCAAAACACATGCTATTGCGCAAACGCTGACACCCCACATCATCTTTTTTATACTCTTCTATCATTACAGTACCGTTTCGTCATTTTCTATTTTGTAAAGTTGGGTGCAACCCAAACCTTCTCTTCCTTTTGTATTTTTTTCTTATTAAAATAAAAATTACAACCTTGGCGGCTGTGCTGATGATTTCCTTATTCATTTTAACCAACCAACCATAAAATATGCACTTCACTAGCGTTCTATGTGACTGTCACAACCGGAATGATGCTTGGCGGCTTTGCGCGGCTTGTGCCGGCGGCTTGTATTGCCTTCGGCATAGCCGCTCGGCATAAACCCGGCGGCATCGCCGCCGGCTTGTATGTAGTAGCTTTTATACATATTAGATTCCCAGATGGCTGCTGGGATATTTTTTGGGCATCATAGATTGTCATATGGAAATGAGAAGGAAAAAAGCGGTGCACATATTGAATACTAAAAAAAGTAATTTAAACTTGAACTATTCAAAAATAACAAACCATATATTATAAGATTCGGTATATTAATACTGAACACTCAAATCCGCCTAAAAAAAATCACACGCAAACAAAACCAATGCATGCTTTTTTGTGATATCGACACCACACATTCACAGATAAAGGCAAAATACCGACCTCTTGGATCGAGTCATGTTCCTATAGAAACAGTTCTGCGACTTTTTTAAGTACTGTTTTATTACTAGCAAAAAAAGACGTAGAAATGGCCTACTACGGTATTGGGATGCTTTTGTGTCTGATGAAAAAAGAGTGTCAAACGTGTTTCTTCATATTTGGCTAAGAAAATTGAATGATGTGAATCCAAGAAAAGCTATAACCATACAATCATTGGTAGTCCGAAGAACAACAACACTAACACATTCACTCGTATCAAGTTTCAAACAACAATAGGCATACTATAAAAAACTTACCAGGACCAGCGCTGAAGCCTGACATGAACTTTCCAGCCTCGACAGGATTCTCAAAGTTGAAGTTTATCACAGCTATCCATTGTATCCAATTAGTTTGCACCACACATCACTAATATCAATTACTACTGATCACTTTCCACTTGCAATCGCGACTTGAAATGTGCAAGTAACCGTCGCCGACGTCGCTTCCTGCGACCGCGTGCGTGATCGGTACTTGCATAACAGCGCGCGTCGAGAAACACGCGTTGATCGACGGGGTTAGGCAGTACCGGGCGAAAGAAGCGTCGGCGTGATTTATTCCTGTTTTAGTGGATCTCCATCGGCACATTCTACACGGTGTATGTTTTGTGCAGTGGACGACAATTGCAGATGTCGTGCGAGGTTATCCGGAGTCTGAATTTTTCTAAAGCCGCGTACAGGCCGAGATTACAACGTTTGTCTCCATTCGATGAGAGGAGACTCGTCGCTCGACATTAACACCGAACTTAACCCGACGCGGTCCATCTCCAAACTAAATTTAGGTGTAGACGACGTGGGGACGAGCGCATTCCAATACCTTCCAACAACAAACGCCAACGTCACATGTGCGTGCATTCTTTTGCCCGGCGTTGGAATTTCGGTCTGTATGCGGCTTAACAGGAACAGGCGCTTTGTTTATGATTTTATGTTTTGCGCGTGGTTCGGTGATTTTTATCTGAAACTAGTTTCCAAGCTTCAGCAATGATCACTGGCAAGTTTTTCTTGAATGCCGTTTATTGTTAAGGCGGGTACGCATATGAGCACGAACGCGCGAGGACGAACCATTTGCCTCGGAGACGGGAAGGTCGGGTTTCTGAATAGTGGACGCTCGAGGCATTGTACGGAATCGATCCATGGAATGTGGCGAGCATTCTTGTATTTCAGTAGCTTTTAAAATATGGCCGATTCAGATTCTGATGGTGAACACGCTGCGTATGTTATAATTTTAACCAGTGTATTAAAAAAGGAAGACAAGAAAAAACAAAAAGATGGCAGTTAAAATTATATCTTAACAGAAGAAAACTGAATGAAAATAGCACAGGTTTGTTAAAAGATCTCTTGGACGCCATAATATCCTTCTCTTTTGATATTCTTCAATGAGTCATAACACTAAAATCTGAAACCATTCCCTTATTATTAAAAGGAAGCAATAAAAAATAGTATTTTATAAGGATAATCTTTGTTCGTGCCCTGCTAGTTACTGCAGAGTAGATCGCGACTTGAAATGTTTATTTCCGCCCATACTGAGCACGCACCGAGCACGTGCCTCCCTTTGATGTACCGGGAAGACACGGATCGGGTCGAGCCCGAATGCATACGAATTCGAAAACCTCGTTCCGACGTACACATAGGTATGCTTATGCTCATGCGTCCTCGGGTTGCCTAATTCACGTTCGTGCTCATATGCGTTCCCGACTTTAGACACTTCCGAAGAAAATTGCCTCAGCTGTTGTACATTAGCTTTTTTTAATTCGCAGTGGTTCTATTTATCGAAACGTAGGTCAAACAAAGCCATATGTTCTAGCCTGTTTGGGGACTAGAAAGGGGGCAATAAGTATTGTCATTTTTGTAGCTGGCATAGGTGCTATATTTCTGAAATGCGTCTAAATTAATTTGACAGCTGTGAAGGGAATCTCAGTAATACTATGGCCCAAATTACTGATAAAAGGTTAGTAAGTGTATTATTTTTTAGTTATCCGCTTATTTTTCGAACATTCCTTGTTTACAGTACTTTGGAATTATCCAGATATCTTTGAAATTGTCAAGATACACCGTCATGGTTTTCACGGCTGTTGTTACTCTACATTAAGCCCTTCTTTCTCGTATTTCCCCAAAGTCCTCCAAGTAGTTTTTAAGAATTTCTAATTGTTTATTCCAAAACACCTGTCTTCCGGCCATCACTACTAGTTTACTGAGCAATATACAGGGTTCGTTCAAAGGTTATTTTATAGCAAAATACACGAGTTTACCTTGCCGACATGAAGCACAAACCATTCCGAAAGATAATTATTATTTGTATGCGAAAAACGGTCAGTTTTTCTTCTAAACCAATTCAAGCATTTCGTGTTTGTGAGTTATTGAACAGATTCGCTACGATATGCGAAAAAAACATGCAAATACGAACTGTTTGAATTTGTTTAGAATAAAAAACGTAACACTTCGTTTTTCGCATAAAAATAACAATTATCTTGCGGAATGGTTTGTGATTAATGTCGGCAAATCAAACTCGTGTATTTTGCTATAAAATGCCCTTTGACCGAACCCTGTATGTATATTGCACAGTAAACTAGAAGTGATCTCTGGAAGACAGGTGTTTCTAGATAAACGATTAGACATTCTCAAAAACTACTGGATGAATAGACTCCAATTTTGTTGCGATTATTTAGAAGTATGAAGCCTGCGGATTTGAAGAATTTCAAGTAGCTGCTTGAAATTATCGTCGCGTTAGCAACAAGTACCAAAACCTGCACTTTGCATCGGTTTTCGGCCATAACTTTTTTACTATTAGTCGGATCTTTTCAAGTGTAGTCTCATTCTGTGGGTCTCATAAATACCTAAAAATGTTATTTGAAGAGTTTTTTTGTTCCGGACAACATTTTCGATTGAATCGCAAAACACGTGTTCTCTCATTGTTTGTTGTCGATTAAAAGGTTTTCCCACAAAAATTGGTATACCTATTTTATGCGTCCATGTTTTAAATACCCCCTTGAACAACTTACATCAATAAAACCAGACTTTACAATTATTTCGCGAACCAGGGGTATTTTCGTCTAATCTAATACGTATGATTAGACCATAAGATGTATTTTGTGGCAGCTGGGACCTCTTGCTGTTAAGTCGTTTTTGGGGTAGTTAGTGGTGTAGGGTGTGATTTTATTGAAAAACATGACTCCACAGTGCCCTCATCTATTCTGCAGTTCCATCATAATTCATTTATTTTTTGATATATAAACAAAGAATTTGAGCATATGAAAGATAGACGCTCGTGGGAGTATACTTTGCGATTTTTTAGATAATATATTTTATAAAAAATGTGTTGTGTTCTATGCAAGAAAATCGTAGTTCTATCAGAAGTTACTTATTATTATTATTATTGTCTTTTTGACATATAAACAGGGTATCTGGAAATACGGATGAATAGAGTAAACAATAGTTGATCATTTTTTTCCGAAAACTTAATTATAAAAAAATAATTTGCAGTTTCACCTTCCCTTTAATTTTTAAATAATATACCTAATTTCTTGTATTTAGCTCAACAAACTAATGAGTTATGCTGGAACTGCATATGATGAACTGAGCTGATAGTGATATTTCAATTTGTTGATAGTATTCAAACTCTGAAGTTAAAATTTTATATTACAAGTATAAAAATAACAGATGGTTTTCTTTTAACGAAACAGTTTATTCTAAATTTTTTATATCGTCCAGCGTCTTCTGTACAGACTCTCTGTATTCTTCAATATCTTTGAAGAACACACATAGTGCAATACACATTTCTGTGAACTTGAGGAACTCGTTTGAATCGTCCGACATATCTGAAAAAACGCCAATTATAAGAGTTTTCCAATAATGATCAGCTGATGAAATGGAATAATACGAACTGTGTGTGAAGTATTAACAGAGTTCTTTTTTAATAATAAAGAAAAGCGCTATAACCCAAACCTTCTCCTAAAGTGGCCTCTAGTCTAATCTGTTTTACTTTCTCTTGTATTCCATTCTTTAAAGTGTAAATAGTAGCTAATCTCACAGCTTGCGTCATATGTAGCGTCTTCGTCCGATATTATGTGATGAGATAGTTGCAAAAGTCTTTACACAGTACCGCAGTTTTCTTTATTAATAAATATTTGCAAGAAAACCTTTATACATACAGGGTGTTCATTTGTAAAACTTCCCACCACGGATTTATCGAAAACCACAGATTAAAAGAAAAAACGCCGATACACGTCAAAAGATTTGTCAAGGGGAACAACTTTTTAACCAAAAACTACTTGACCCCTTTAACCCTCGGCCCCCAGGGTCATTCCCTTAAAGATTTTAAATAACAAAGGGTATAGAGTGATAGCTTGTTTGAAAGGTCTTTCAAAGTACTTTATTTTGACGTTCGATTTTTTAAAATCAGTCGATTTGTTTTGGAGAAAATTAGAAAAATCTTTATTTATCTTAATTTATTCAGACAGAAAACAAAAACACACGAAATGTCACTTTTTATTTCAATAACTGTTCAACATGTTGCCAGTTAGGGTTTGCCAAATTTACAATTCTTTTATAATTCAAAACGGAAACTACCAACATAAACAGCAACTCGGAAGATTAGACGTGGCAACAACCAAATAACCCGATTTTTTTCCGCATTCTTTTCATCAACACAGATATCCTGGGCGAACTGTATTTATCGTTATACCTGTTTAGTTATTTATTGCTAAGGGAAAGAAAGAATTTAATTTGCTGTCAGTTACCTTTGTGACAATCTTGGGATAGTGAAACTTAATTTATTGATTCAGATTTTACTTCCAAAATGGTTTGCACACTAGCCGAAAGAGTGGAAATGATTCTAATTTACGGTGCCCAAAATCAATGTGCTCGGCAAACTGCCGTTACGTTTAACGCCAGATATCCGGGGAGCATAGGTATGTTTTGGACCTTGTTTCTAAATTTACTCAAACTGGATCTTTTGCAAATGAAAAACGACATCGGAGAGTTTTGGATGGAGCCGCTCAAGTTAAGTTTTAGGTCATTTTGGAATAAATCCTAATACTTCATAATGCAAAATGTTGCTGCGACTGGTATTTCATTAGGCTCTGTACACAAGAGTTAACTGAAGATGATTTCAATAGGCGAGTTCAGTTTTTTGAATAAATTTCTGCAGCTTACCATTCATGTAAAGAAGATCTGCTTCAGTGATGCATGCACATTTTATCTAAATGTATTTGTTAATAAGCATAACTGCAGGTATTGGAGCAATGAAAATCCTCATGCTTTTGTAGAAGGGCATACCCAGTATCCCCCAAAAATTAATGTAGGAGCAGGTAACAAAGTGATTGGACCATTGTTTATTAATGGAAATTTAAATGAAGATATTTATTTGGATATTTTGGAAAATACCATCAATCCGCTTATCACTGAAACCTCTGAAAACCATGTCATTTAGATAAAATTTTTAAGGGGATTTTCACGTCCGAAATGGATATTGGAAAAGCTGATAAAAATAAATGGGGTTCCTCAAGAATGGCTAAAACTATTGATGCCTTTAGGAATAAGAGGAATGAACGGAATTGCTAACTATATATATATATCTGATTTAAATATAGATCTAGATAACTGGCAACCATGTGAAATACACTGATTTTGTTAATAAGATAAATCGTGTAATATTCCGCGTTAAGGACCTATACCCTATTTCACGAGTATCCATCACTGTAGACTGAGCTGATTATCTAGCAACATCTCAAAATCAGAGCCCAATTTTATTCTGCTTTTTGTACGCTACAGATTCATTGTGTACTTGCTAACACCTCTTTTATTTAGAAAAGTTCATTTGCATACAAAAAACAAAACGCCACAAACAAGTTTTGCTAGATTTATGAACGATTCATTATTGCCAACGTCGCAGAGTAACACAAAAATGTCAATCAGCGCCCTACGCGAAATATCACACATTTTAGAAGAAAAGTGATTGCTTTACATTCATTTTTTCTAACCCCAATTTCCGTATTTTATCAATCGTCAGTGTATTTTATATGGTTGCCAGTTATGTGGACTCCTCCCCTCCCCAGCCCCCCTAATTGATAATTGACAAAATTTACTAGGCCTCTGATTTGAGCACTGAATCTTTGAAAATTACATTTTTTAATAATAATTTTCAACTACAATTTATCAACCTGGAAAGTAAATGATGCTTGACATTACGAAGTAAACATTGTTTACTTTTAAAACTACTTTCAGCTGATTTTCATATTTTTAATCAGTAACAGAATGGTGTTCTATTTTTGGGCACTTTCATCTGTAAGTAAAAAATATTATTTCATCAATATTTGACACACAGCTTGAGTCACTCCCTATACACCTACTACAAGTAATTATAATAGAATTGGTAGTAGTTATAGAGCATTACGACTGAAACTTACTCTTATTGCATTTTATAAATTTGTACAAATCGTCACAGGTTTTTATGCAATGCTTCAGTATCCGCTCCTGGAATACAGGCTTCCAATACTTCTTTATTCTCTTAAGACACTCTGTAAATGACCATGGAGCATCATTGAGCATGCTCATTTTTTTCCAAACTGTTCCATAGGCGTCCCTTGCACATTCACAGATCACAGACGAGCATAGTATGCCCATCTTTTGCATAATGAATCTGACTCTTTTGTTGTTGGCTAGTATGTCAGATATTTTTGACTCTATTTCTTGGATTGAGCAAGCTGTTATAGAGTTGATAAGTGCTTTGTTTTTCAGGTTCATATCATTTGAAAGTAATATCTGGAAAAAGGTATAACAGAAATATCACTAGTATGTTTAGTTTTTAGAAAAATTCAAAACTTTTCTCAGTCAAATAAATGTTTTTCTAGATTTGAAGCGCAAATGTACGGCGGAATCTATGATGTATGAAATATGTCTAGTAGGTGCGTAGAATCACCAGTTAGAAGTGCATTAATATATTAACATAAAAAAATTGCGATACCCCCCAGTTTTTTACCCCCAAAGATTTTTACAAAAATGATCTGGATCTTCTAAAACGTCAAAGAAAAGAAATTTGAGCAATTTGGACTGTTTGCGTTTTTGGCATTTTCCTAAACCGCCACTGGACCGATTTTCAAAAACTACGAAGCTTTTTCGTCCTTGAAATAGTAGTAATATTGTGTAAGAATTTGATCAATACATCAAATTTTAGCATATTTTTCAAACTCGGCTCAGAAGTTTAATTACGAGTTTTATGAAGAATCACCCCTTAGCCAGAAGATAAATACTTACCACAGTGTCGTATTTTTCCGATACTTGCATACAGCAAGAAATTATTTTGTCATCTGGACTGCTGCCTATATGCTTCTGGCGTTCAACCTCCCTCACAGTTTGCCCTGAAAAATGTAGATAACTCAACATGAACTCAAATTTGAGTATCGAGGTCTTACCTATAATACGCGGATCCTTTTCCTGTAAGCCCTTATTAATGAAATGTACGGAATTGACTATGTTACGTTTCAGTTTGTCCTTGGAGCATGTGTCCTTCATGTAATCTAACTCTTGAATCACCATCCAAGGTATATGCACGATAGGTCTAATATTACCTGAAAATTATATGGAAATCGCGACATAAAGAATAGATTTTTTTCAAAACATGGTTTAATGTCACAATGAAAATTCATTAATCGAAAGCTTAGTGTGAAAAGACGTTATCCATTGAAGCGATATTGTTACCATTAAAATCAAGCTTTATTCCCTTTGGAAGAGAATTAAGATTGAGAGAAGGTTTATGATGAGAGATAGCATCTAGTATATAGTGACTAGTCTCTCTAACAAAAAAATTCAGATAGTTTTTGACACTGAGCCCTCAAAATACTGACATGACTAAAATTAAAATCAAGAGGCCTAGAACATACCTTTTACCTTCATTGAAACTATTTCCTTAAGTTTTGACAAGTGGGAAATGAATATATTTGTGTCAACTACAATACAGATATCCTTCAGTTTTGGGGGCTTATCTTTAATACTGACAGGTTCTACTGGTGCAATTTCTTCATCAGGTTCAGCCTGAAAATAAGAAATTCGGAAATAGACTTTGTGGGATTTTCTAGCTGATTTCGTCGTCTGAGGTAATCTTTCTCTGAACTTGAATATCTTAATTTCATTCCCATAGTTTTAAAAACTAAAAATAGAAAATTGCAGGACAAGAGCAACTGGATTTTTATTCTTATGTTCTAAGGTGCTTAATGTTCATTTGGTTCAAGTATTATTTATTACATTTTTACCTTGAAATTGAGCAAATAGACGATTCAAAAACTTCATATTTGTGGGCGAATTTTCCTTGCAATAGAGGGACGCGTGCATGGTCCACAGCGCTGTGCATTATGAGCAACTAAATAATTAGCATTATTATTTAGTTAATAATGCTTTAAAATAAACTAAGCCCAAAATTCCCATGGGAGAGTTTCTAAGCATTGAAAATGGCGTTTTGTTCACACTGAAAATTGCTCATAACTCAAAAACAACTTTAGATAAATACTGGGGACACTTTTAGCTGAGAATGATCAAAAAACCTAAATACTTTGTCCATAGTGAAAAAGCGAATTTTTGTATATTGAATAAATAGGCACAGCAAAGTCTTGATTCATGTCCATACACATGATTATGAACAAAAATTGAGTTGGAAAATGTCTCCCTACAAATGCCTCAAGTAAAAAACAAAACATTTTCCATTATTTATACAATCGCTTCCAGAATGCAGTATTTTTGGATGTGAAGAGGACATTTGAAATTGAAAAGAGGATATTTTTTTAGGTAAACTGAAGACACATAGTGTATCAGAAGTGTTTTAGACTGGTTAAAAAATTATTTATCTAAAAGGTTGCAAGTTACAAAAGTTAATAACACTATTTTATCAAAAATAGAAAATAGATTAGGTGTTCCACAGGGCAGTATCCTAGGACCAATTCTATTTATTTTATAGATAAACGATTTACCTGCTATAATAAAAAAATGCAAAACAAATTTATGCAAGACTCAAAATATTCAGACTCTTATCTGATATATAAATGAAGACTGAAACTTGTTTAACCCAAATTAAATACAAATAAAAGAAGAGCTATGTTAGCTAGAAAAAACAATGTAGAAATTTAATGTTCATCTAAATATTGGTGGTGACATTATTGAATTCATAGAAAATTTTAAATATCTTGGGGTTTTTGTTGACTGTTTGAAATAATAATTCCATTTTTAACGACTGGAAATTTCACAAAAAGACCCTAGAATGGTGTAGCAGCCAATTTGGGCAAAGGCAGGCAAAAGAGTTCATCAAAGGATGAAGGCCCGCTTTTACAGAGGATCTACTCGGACTCAATAGGAAGGCCATAAGGGCCATAGTGGATCTCCTGACAGTACACTGTCATCTAAATCGACATATAAGACTCTTGGGTCTGGCAGAAGAGACCACATGCCATTTCTGCAGAGAGCATGAGGAAACCCCAGTGCATCTTCTGTGTCACTGTGAAGGCCTGGCTAGGCTATGGTTTCAAATAGTAGGAACCAAAGGTCCAGCAGTGGAAAGCTACATGCATGGCAGTGTGTCAAGGCTATGGGGCCTGATCAAAAGATCAAAGCTGGACACAGTTCTTTACAAATTATATAGCGGTGTCACAATAGATCCACTGAGGTCACATTGATGCTAAGGCTGGCAAGCCAACCCCTTACTTCTGTAAACTGTAAATCATACCAAATTAAGATGAATATACTCCAAATAGACAAATGCCAAATTAAAATTTTATCGAATGTCAAGTAATGTTCATTTATAAAGTACAAAATAATATATTTCCACCATGTCTAACTAAATTAACATCATTAAATGCTGACCACCATTTACATAAAATCATATATAAAGGTAACTTCAATTTAATGTCCAAAAAGTATAATTTGTTGTAATGTGTAAGAGAGATAATTGCAAGAAATATCCAATATGTATGTTAGAAAGAGTGCGCCAATGCTAAATAAGTAACTTTGAAAAATCTTACATTTGCCCATTCCATCTCTTCAACAGGCTCTGTAGGTTTTTCCTCAACTCTTCCTATGGTATCGTTTGGTGGCAAAGCTGGTTCCTTTTGAATATTAGGATTGGTATGGTATTCTACCCAAGATGCTGTTAAAGCCATCTTCCCATGGTAACTGTCAATATTCTGGTCAGTCATTAATGTATTCTGGATGAAAGAATCATGTTTAGGTGATGGGGTAAAGGGTTTGTACACAGAAGTTACAAGTTTAGTAGGATTCTCAGTAGTATCAGGTGGTTTGTTCACCACTATGTTTGTAATAATGTTGACCTTGCTATTTTCTTGTTTTGAAATGCTATTTCTATGAGACATTGGTGAGGAAATATTGGTTGAATTAGCAGGTGATTTTGGTATGAAAATTGGAGGAGACATCATGCTATGGCCTTTTTCATATGTTTTATCAACAAGAGAATTTGTTGAATTCCTCCTTAACGTATGAGAAAGATAAGTAGAATTTCCTGGATTTTTTACATTATCTACATTTGAATTATTACTACCAACTGTACTCAACTTAGTTATATTATTATTTACAGTATCTCTATATTTAACAAGTCTTTTGGGTACTGACTGATTAACACCACTAGGTGTGTTTTGGTTGTCAGGATTATAAACTTCAACTGAAATATTTCTAACATCTCTTACATCTTTTGTCAGGTCTTTTGTATTTCTGGACGGAAAATCTTGGGTATCAGGGAAAGATTTTTTGAGGGGAGGTTGTGATGTAACTTGATCGTCACTTCGGTCAGAAGCCCTACGCTTCACTGGTGAACCACGATGTTTTAAAAGTGGTGATATCTGACTGCCTGTTTCTAGAGTTTGAATATCTTTTGGAGAAGTCATGTCAGATGTGGGCATGCTATTGTTTTCATGTGGATTATTGAGGATACATTTTTTCAACCTCTTCAACCTATTATTAGCAGTGTTTTTTTCTTTAGGACTTTCTGCTGTAGACCATTCTGCCAAATTTTTATAGATATTTGTGCTCTTCCTTTCAACAGCATTGGAGGTTATTTTCTCTTGGGCTTTAGTTGAAGTAGGGATGTTTGATGGTTCTACGAATAACTGGCACTTCTTTTTATTTTCATACTGATTGGTATCTTGTACCACATCCAATTTCAGAGAATGTTTCAATCTCTGTAACCTATTATTTGCAAGGTTCTTGGTAATTTGGGTAGACTGTGGTACTTTGTTTGAATAGCCAAAATCTTTGTCCTGTCCAAAGAAACTGTCGTAGCTGTAATTTCGTCTAATTCCTTGGTTTGCTGGGTGGTATTCATTCGAGTCACAAGAACTGGTAGTTGTGTTTGAGGGACAAATTCTCAATCTCTGCGCTTGTAATTCTTCTCTATCTTCTCTGAACGACATTGTCTTTGGTTAGAATGATTGAAGATGCATTCTCATCACAAGTTCCATTCACCAAAAATCTTGTCATTTGATTACGTCGTTCTACTGTGTATTTTATTACAAATGCCCAAAAATAAATAGAAAAATAGCCTCTTTAATTGAAATACGCCATCCACTGTCAAAATACATATGGCAAAAAAGCAAAAAACAAGGATTGACAACTGACATCAGACAGCGTTGCCAAGTCCTTTCAGGTTCTTTACCTTTGTTTTGTATCAATGGGAAATAATTCTATAAAAATGCATTCCTATATAACAGAGCCTTATATTCACAGCAGCCGTCGAATAGTTAGGGTTTTTAGCATTTTCTACTTTAAAAAGCCCCCGACACGACCATTAGGGAAGGTTGATTTGCGTAAGGAATACACGTATTCGTATGAAGCCAATTCTGTCGCCAAGGAAGGGGTGGCCGAATATATATTTTGTGGGTGTGGGTATCGGATCAATGTAGAACATGACAGAGAGGGTCTGCGCTAGTCTATGCATTGAAAAATGTCTACATAACCTGCCACAATTTTTATATCCATTTCACTCAAGTTTTGCCATGCTTGTAGGTTTATTAATATTATCCAATAGTTCTGCTTGCAACTCGTCTGAAGTGTCAAAATTGGAGTTGTTTTCAGTCATGACAGCAACAGAGAGAAAGAGAGATGCCAGTTCCTGCAATTCATTTTATGTACATACACTACATATATGAGAGAGTGCCCTATGCGCAGCACCTGAAATTCATTTCCTACGCAGTGTACTAACTTACTTCACCTTCGACATTTTTTGCTTCACATTCGCTCTATGATTATACACGTCAATGGTTTAACCTCCTATTTAGTCTTCGTGGCCTCCAGCCCCTCCAGTATAATTATATAATATAATATATATTCACCAAAGCTGGTTGCATACTTTACGCAAAATTTGAATGCTATAAAACCAAGATCCCAAACGAGATATGGAATTCAAACTCGGAATACTCAGGGTAGGCCCCAGCGCAGGGCAGCCCCGGCGACTGCCCGAGGCAAAACGATCCAGGGGCGCCAAATTACTGAAATTATGGTTCACAAAAATTATTACAATTCGCTGTTTACATTAATTCTCTTTTGAAAGTTACACAGAATTTCGCAATAATTCGATCAGAAAGGGCGGCATTAGTCAATATAAAATGTTATGATAAATCCGGATTAGAATCAAGGCTCAGAATACATATGTTTTCTACAATTTTTGAATGCTATAAAACCAGGATCCCAAACGAGATATGGAATTCAAACTCGGGATACTCAGGGTAGGCCTCAGCGCAGGGCAGCCCCGGCGACTGCCCGAGACGCAACGATCCAGGGGCACCAAATTACTAAAATTATGGTCCACAAAAATTATTCCAGTTCGCAGGTTACATTAATTCTCTTTTGAAATTTACACAGAATTTCGCAATGATTTGTCAGAAAGGGCGGCATTAATCAATATAAAATGTTATAATAAATCTGGATTATAATCAAGGCTCTAGTTCTTGCAAGAATACACATGTTTTCTGCAATTTTTTAACGCACGCACACAGTGCAGGATAATAATAATCGTCTGTATTGAAACTGTATAAAAAGAGCTGCAAATTGTGGACAAGTTTATTTATTATTTGCAGTTAGGTTTCTGCCAGTGCGGACGTACAAAGGGTAATATAATAGTTTTGCAGGAGGCTGCATGTTACTGCATGTTGAGACATGTCCATGAGTGCATAGTCGCCGCCAGCAGCACGTCTCTTGATTTAGTTGTTCATTCGTATTGACAGTGTAGAGTGCGGATTATGGCATCGTGATCACGTAGTGAGATAGGGGCAGTTTTACGGTATAACTTTACGCGGGTTTCAAGCATAGACCAGTGTTTAGAAGAAATGGCGCTTGCATTAAAGAATGATTATCCTCGTCGTACGACTATATTCAGATGTTATAGAGAATTCCAAAGAGGCAATTTCACTCTGGAGGACGCCGAGAGGGAAGGAAGGCCGCTAACGTCAGTAACAGAGGAAAACATTATTGCTGTGAGGAAAATGCTTGACGAAGACCGGAGAGTGGCATACCAACAGATAGAGGAGACCTTACACCTTCATGCGCCAGCAATTTATTCAATTCTGCATGACCATTTACACGTAAGGACACTTTGTTCTCTCTGGGTTCCGCAAGATGCTGAAAATGTTTGATAAGGGGCAATTTCGGTATGTGAACAGTATCGTGACAGGTGACGAGACTTGTCTCTATTATTACCATATGCCGACCAAGGCTCAAAACAAAGGTGATGATGATGAGGACACACCCGTAGCTGTCAGAAAATCCGGATCTGTTAAGAAAAAAATTATAGTTGTATTTTTCAAATCGAGCGGGATTGTGGAGCGTCGTTTTGGACACACAGAAGACAGTCACAGCTAAGTGGTACACGGAACAGTGCCTGCCGAAGGTCATGAAAAACCTGCGGCCAAAGTCAAGAATGGACACTTGGTACCTCCACCATGATAGCGTTCCAGCTCACCGTGCCAAAGCCTGCACGGAGCTTTTGAACACTACTGAACTGAAACTTATTGAGCACCCTCTTTACAGTCCAGATTTTGCTCCCTGCGACTTTGCACTGTTTCCGCATGTGAAAATGAAGCTAAAAGGAAAACGGTTTTCTAGCGATGAGGACCTTCTGAGAGCTTGGGACAACGGGTGTGCCGCACTCACGGGTGAAACTTGGTAGAGCTGGTTTAAGGGCTGGTTTTGGCGGATAGAGAAGTGTGTTGAATGTGGTGGAAATTACTTTGAACGAAGTCAATAAACAAAGGTGTATTGCAAAACTTTTATAGTACCCTTTGTATAGGAAAAATGTGAAAAAGAAAAGTATTGGTGCGTACGACTGTGTGGTGTTTGGTTTTAATTGACACCCGATTTCACGAGTACCCATCACGGACGATGACAGCTAGTTATCTAGTAATATTTCAAAATTCCCCATATCGGCACAGGATAGATAATTCATTCAGAGGATCGCTGAACTCCAGGTACTCAGACCCGTATATTGTTGTGGTTCTTTGTACGCTACAGATTCGTTTTGTACTTGCTAACAACTCTTTTATTTAAAAAAGTTTTTTTTGCATACGAAAGAAACGCTACAAGCACAATAGCTGCTAATGAACATGGCTACAGCTCAAGTCAGGTAGGAATAAAATAAGGTAAACAGTTTATGACTATATTAATTATATCTACTTTTTAGAACTTGGAACACCATTTCATCTTGAAGGGCAATGATACAGTCAAGCATTTAGTTTAAAATGTGTGGCAGTATATGACCGAGTTGTTAGAGGTTCGATTCCCTCAATTAGGTCTGAACATTACTCAGGTAATTCTAACAAGTAATAAAATAGAAAAGTGCAGGAAGTCATGAAATGTACACAACTGGGACAATGCAGTGTTAGTGAATACAAGCATTGGCCAACTGTTGAGAACTCTGCAATAATCCAAAGAAAACGCAAACGTAGTTTATAATTTTTTCAAAAAGAGTAAGATATTCATAAGAATATACCAAGTCAGCAAATTGATGCTATGACATCATTACATATCGAGGAAATGGTAAATTCCAGGAAGTATATTTTATTTTTATTTTGTTATTTGAGTGGTATGAAGCATTTGATGTATCACAATATGGCATGGTGATGGGTCGTTTCGTAATTTTGGGTGTATGTATTAGATTTGATGTGATTAGTTATGTACTTTTGATGAATTACGTTACACAGATGACTGACAATAAACCAGAAACACGTGTCTATATTATTTTTTCATGTAAATTTACAGCTTCTGGAAAGGACTATGCCACCTGTTCTATTGACATATATCATGTAATCAATAAATCCCAGGTGTACTATAATAATTTTCTAATAAACGTTTCTATATAATATGTAGTTGTACATTTTATTGGCACATTTCCCATCCACTTAAAAATATAATCCTAATATGTAAACAACAGCTCTGAATTTGATCCCGAAATTCATTATTGCCGTTACACATTAACATAAAGATGTCGCTTTTGTGATCAGCTGTTCACCTCAAAGCGTGATGGATACTCGTGAAACAAGGTTTATTTTTGTTTTTGATGTTTCTTCATGTATGTTAAAACTGCTGAAGTTAATAAATATGGTTTTTCTTCGTTATAAAATATAATATATTAACACATATATATGTCCTTCCAATTTGAAGTTTTTTAATCACAAGCCACCTAACTTCTCATTGAAATCGAAACATTCTTAATGGGGAGCGCTATAGATCTGTTTTGCCCGGGGCGCCGAAATCTCTCGGCCCTGAATCCAAGGTATCATTCGCAAGCATAACATAATCATTCAAATAAGTACGTCGTACGTCCAAAACTCTTCTACTGGTTCTTTGTGGTTCACTATTATCCATGCAACAATTTTCATGATTGAAACTTCAGTGGAGTATGAAAAAAAATCTGGGACACTAAGGCCCGTATCTATTTGCATCAAATTGTGCTTGCTTTTGAGTTATATCATGTTTTATCAGCCTGAAATTTCCTACAATTTAAAAAAAAACATATCTTCACAATAGGAGAGCGCTGACGCTGACACGGGACAAGTGTAATACAATTGTAGGGACGACTGACGATACAGGCCTAATTAATGTTTTATTAATCCATGTATTTATGTTTCCTCCAAAGTCAGGTTCAAGAAACTAACAAAAATTACTCATTTCGTATGAAAACATTTATTAAATTAATTAAAAAAAGGTGGTACAAATACATTACAGGTTTAAAAAACGCCTAAGCATTATAAGGTGATTGACAATGGTGTAAAAATGAAACAATTAAAAAAATTAATTTTCTCAATTAAAACTTTAACTTTCATCTTATATGGACAAACGGCTATACATGGTGTTACCATCAAAGTAGATTATAAGACCATTTTAATCGTGATTGCAAATGGCAACCCTAGAGCCAGCGTGTTCTCTTCCGTTACTATTGTTTACTCAAAACTCAAATTCATTTACTGAGATATAATGGTCAAGTAAGGAGTAATGCTCAAAAGCAAAAGGGCTCATGGAAGCAGTAATTGCTTTTATCCTAAACTGTTCCTTGTCTGCCTCTAAAGAGTCGGCTTCCTTGAGATTTTCGAAAATAAAGCTACATTCCTGAGTATCTAAATTGTACGATTCTAAAGAGCACACATCGTGTTCCTCAAACCTGTGTTTGTATAACGTATAAACGATGTTATTGCACAGGTCAATGTCTATTTTATCACAGTCAATATCAGTTACATGCCTTATGGAGATCACTACTAAAACATTGTCTTCTATCTTCATTTCTATTAGATTTTTACCTGGAAAATTATAAGAGAACGTTATTGTTTTTCGGTCATACTATGACACCCTTCTGGGTAACTTGGTAGCTAAATTTACCTAGCACGTCCTTATGCATTCAAATAAATCTGTTTCAAAAATTTTCATCTTAACCCCACAAATGTGTTTAAGGCCAAAATACCCAGTGAATTCAAAAATCTATAAAATCATACATATTTAAAAGGGTTAGGTACTCAACAAAATCTAAACGACAATTTCCATCCTACAATTTGTAAGCTGATAACTCGTCACAGGTCTGATTTTCAAAATTTCATTAAAACCTGAGTGGTGGTTTCAAAATTCAAAGGAGCCAAAGATTACTAGGAAGGTGGCAGGTAGACCGACAGAAATGAGCGCACATCATGAGCATACAGTTGGCGACAGCACCATCTATGGAATATGTAAATTTTCATAGTAATTTCCTAATTATTATGGAAACAAGAAACATAGCTGTGCTAGGTTCTCATAGAGTACATGTTCGAATGGAATAATTTTTGGGAGCCGAAATATAGTATTAGTTAGGCTATCTTCAAGTAGAATACGTCAATCAATGGTGACATAGTTGTCGTATACAATATTGAAGTAACATATTATTATACTGTCTGAAATTCTTTTTTTTTGCTTTTACAATGCTCCTCTCGCTTGTTGGATAAGTTCATATTATCAGTACCTACCTTTAATGAACAATCTATCTCTATAAGAAAAAACGGCAAATTCTGACTGGTTGCTCAGAATCGTCCTGTCTATTATTGCTTCTACTCTGGTCCATGAATAGGTATCAACATCGTCTTTTAGGAAATAACCACACTGCTCATTAATGCTAATCACAAAAAATTGGTCTAGGAAACAGCAGCATTTAAACTGCTTATCACGAAAGAGTAAATGCCTAACATATTCACACCATCTGTCTAGTTTGAAGTCATACCAGAATAGGCTGTCCTGAGTTACCCTAGAAATGAAATGATAAGATGAAATTTAAACAGATATCAAACAGATTGACGCGGTATGTCGCCCCGATTGCTATAATTCTATTCAAAATTTCAGGAAATTTTGGCACTCTTAATTTTTTTGACTTAGTCCTAAAGCTATGAGAAAGTTGAGATATGTATAAAAACCAAGATTTCAAAAAATCTAGACACAGCCAAGCAATTTTTTCGAGAAACTGGGTTTGAGAATAATAAGAAATTTTCAGTTTTGCGCCCGGCGCCGCCGCTAGACCGATTTTCAAAATAAACATCTTTTTCGTTCTTGGTATGCTAGCAGCCTTCGAAAAAGATTTCATTAAAACCCAAGCATCAATTATTTGTGAGCTACGAGTATAGGGGGGGGCGATGATAATCAGACAAACTACAGACATACTAACGGAAATGAGTGAGACAAGGTTTTTTGTGTTATAAATTTCACATAACATAAAAGTATTTCGCGATTACAAGAATTCCTCGCCAAATGGTGTATTGATGTATTTTAGCACAAACTGTAAAAAAATCGACAGAAAATTGTCAAAAGTAACAAATTGTTTGAGCAAGCTTAATAAACGCGTCATGGTTTGCTTATGTTTGCCTGATACCATAGACCATATAACTCACATTATTAATGTCTGTCTCGAAACAGGTTACTTTCCTGCCAGTTGGAAAAATGGTATTATTATTCCAATAGCTAAAACTAATCATCCAGAACAATATTCGGATCTCAGGCCAATTACCTTATTATGCTTTCTATCAAAAAAAAAAGAAAGAGCTGTCTACTCACAACTAGTGGAGTTTTTCGAACAAAATCACTTATTTCCTCTACATCAGTCAGGTTTAAGAGCTGGTTACAGCACTACTTCGTCTTTATTAGATCTTACTGATTCCATCATTCACAATTTAGATAATCACATCAACACCGTCTTGGTACTGTTAGATTTCTCGAAAGCCTTTGATATGGTCAATCACCAGATACTACTGAGTAAGTTATCTCGTTATGGAATGTCAGATATAGTTCTAAGGTTCTTTGAGTCATACTTGCTAAATCGTCCACAAACAGTGAAAACTGATCAGGGAATTTCCTCCTCTGAGCCAGTTCCTTCAGGAGTTCCTCAGGGCTCAATATTAGGTCCCTTACTATATCTGATTTATACGATCGATCTGCAAGACTGTTTAGTCCACTGTAGTATGCAAACTTATGCAGATGATACTCAGTTAGTGTTTGGTTTCGATCCATCAAAGGTTGATGAAGTTTCTTTTAAAGTTAATTTAGATTTGGTTAACATCGGTGATTACTGTAACAAATACTGCTTGAAGATCAATCCTAATAAAACTACTGCAATGTTGTACTGTTCGAAGAACTCCTACCGTGAAATGAAGCAGAGGATTTGTATTTTTTTTGATGAGACACTCATCCCTTTTGTGAATCTCGGTGTTACCCTTGACTTAAATATGAGATTCGATCGGCATGTCTCTTTCTTATCTAGAGTAACGTATATGCGTTTGAAACTCCTCTATTCTAATCGATACATCTTGAATTTTAAAACCCGAAAAAAGCTCGCTGAAAGTCCTGTGTTGTCTGTCATTTCTTACTCTCTTGTTCTTTATTACCCATGTTTAGACTACGTCCACAAAAGGAAACTCCAGAAAATTCAGAAAAGCTGCTGTAGGTTTATTTTTGGATTGCGCAAGTTTAGTCGCGTCTCAGATAAAATCAAGGAACTCAACTGGTTGCGAATTGATAAGTTATTTTTATATCTTTTGACCGTCTTCACGCATAAAGTTCTATTATCTAACAGACCAGCTTACCTCGCTAGCAAATTAGTTCACCGAGGTAGTTTTGTTACCAGAGCTCTTAGATTTAATGCTAATTTTAACATGCCTCCTCACAACACCTCGGTCTTTGAAAGAAGTTACACCTATAATGCTGCCAGGCATTACAATGCAGTCAACAGTGGCTATCGATCCAAACAGGTTGTTTCTTTTAAGAAATTAATGAAAAGTCAGCTGCTGGAGTCCATTTAGTTCAGTTTTTCTTGTGTTCATGTGATTTTTTTTTGTTTGACTATTTTCTACTATTTTTGTTTCAAATTTAAAACTCTCGCAATACTATCTGCATTTGTCTCGTGCAATCAATGTTGTCATTCTTATGAATTGTATTTTTTTTGTATGTTATTATTTTGTTTATGTGTTTAAGTATTATTTTTTCCTGTTGTGGGGTTGAGTGTAAGAGTAGCCGTCTGGCTAAACTTCGCCTCACTGCAGCTAATAAAGGCATTATTATTAAATGACGAAAGACATATATTCATAAAGCTATTTTAGCCAAGGTTTTCTTTTGAGACTGTCATCTTTTATTAAGTGTCATCAAACGATATTCAACTGAAACCATATTTCCGCGGGCATCCTTTAGGCGCATGTATCTTTATAGAGGAGCTCCTAGATCCACAGGAATTTTCAATGGGAATGTATCACATCTAATAGACCATCTAAACGAGCAATATTTACAGGCCGGCTATACAGGGTCTATTCGACACTCACCATTGTGATCTCGGAAACTGTAAGAGATAGGAAGTCACTTAAATGGAGGCAAAGTTGCGTATTAAAGTAATCAAGAAAATGCCACTCAAAAAGTTTCGAGATTCAAAGTACTTTTTTTTCCAAAACCGTTTCATTTTTTTTCTATATCTGTAGTGAGATTTCAAAGTAAATTGCACTGTTTTTCCTCTGTAAGTCAGCGTAATTTCAATATGAAGTTTGGTTTCTTGTCCTCCAGCATCGACTTTATTTTTTTATGGGCGACATACTGGAGTTTTGTACATATGACGGGAGTTTTTAATTCTGATTCCAAAGATGTAGAATACGTCAATACATTGACACTGCCAAACCTTAGTTATTTCAAAAAAGCAGAATTTCATAGGAAGGCCTTGAAAATATCAGATAGTCATTTGTTTCACATACCAGATTTATCCGGAAATCACTTTTATTTTTTCCTGATTTTATTTGTGAAAGGATTCCAAAATAAATTGCATGTTAATATTGCCACTGATTCTCCCCTACATGATGGCATAATTAGAATTTCAATATGACGTTTCGCCTTTTGTCCTCCAACACCTTTATTTTTTCTTATGAACGGCGAATTTAATTTTTGCGCAGATTAATCAAATTTTTAATTATAATTTCAAAAATATATAATATGATATATACTGACCTTGCCAAACCTTAGTTATTCAGAAGAAGAAGAACAGAAGCTCCTAAGAAGACCTTGTAATTATCAGATTTCATTTGTTTCATATACCAGACCAGAGCTCAAATTGAACATAGCATCATAGTTTGGAAGATTGAGAAGAAGAGAAATAAATCGAGCAGTGAACAATGTACTTAGAAGAGATAAGCTTTGCCTTACAAAATAATGGACAACATTTTGAACATCTGCTATTATTGTCCTCTGCTCATTTATGTTTATTTTCATTACCAACAATAAAATTTTCTTTTTGAGTTTCACCATACCTGTTTATTTCCTTATAATATTCATCCAACAACAAAGAAATAAATCACTGAATTTAGGACTGAAAGGTCCATTTATCTGTACAAAATTTTCATATAGCGTCCATATGAAAAAACAAAGTGAAAAGAAGAAATGTCGAATGACAACATGCAATTTATTTTAAAGTCGCATCTCAAATAAAAAAAAATGAAAGTGATTTTGGGATAAATCTTTTATTACGTAAAAAAAACTTAAAAAACGTAAAAAAAACGACAAGATGTTATCTTGCAGACTAGGTAGTTTTTGGTGCGCAAATAGTTCATTCCACGTTAGCCCGCTATGATCGCTGTTGGCTGACGTTTAAGCAAAACGAGTTCACAACAAGTATACCACAACTTGTGCTAAGTTAACATCTTGTAGAAAAACCTACGTTATGTCACGAAAACCTAAGAAATGTAAAAAAAAACGACAAAATGTCACAGTTCAAGATACGTAATACCCGTGCTGGTATGCGAAACATGACTATCTGATAATTTCAAGGTTTGGCAATGCCAGTGTATGACGTATTATACATTTTTGGAAATCAGAATTGAAAACTATTCATCTTTATGAAAATCCAATATGGCATCCTTAAGAAAAAATAAAGTTCATGCTGGACGACAAGAAACAAAACGTCATATTCAATTTCTAATTATGCCATCTTGTAGAGAAAAGTGGCAGTGTTAATTTGCAATTTGTTTTGGGATCCTGCTACAATTAAATTGGGGAAAAAATTACAACGATTTTCGGAAAATTCTGTTTTTTCCGTCTCGCTTCGGAAATATTTTGAATTTCGAAACTTTTTAAGCGGCATTTTGTTGATTACCTAAATTCGCAATTGTCCATCCATTTAAGCGACTTCGTAACCCTTACAGTTTCCGAGGTCCCAATGGTGAGGGTCGTATTTGAAACACTCTGTATATCTACGGGTGAAGTGAAAGAATAGCTCATGATAAACTTCGCCCAATAAAGGCTAATTAATGTCATTATATCTTGTCTAGATCAGACGATCGATTATATATTTGCAATATTGTCTGCAATGTGTAGACACATACCTTGTCACAACTTCTCAGAACGGCTACAAAATCAGGCAATAATAAATATATATATATATATATATATATATATATATATATATATATGGAAATAAGTCAAAAATGTCAAGTTTGAAGCACCATAACAACAATCAAAATAAAAAGGAAAAAATACTAGCTACTACCTGAATGTACCAGTACCTCCAGCAATAAACACCTTGCTTCCAACCACACAAGTCTGAAAGTGTCTTCTAGGATGGGGCATCACAGTCTTTCTTTCCCACCTATCTCTCAAAGTGTCATACACCCAAAAATTCTGGTTCCACTTGCCTCTGCCAATCAGGAACTCCCCTCCATACATAAATACGAACTCTTTATAGCTTTGGAGCTTGAAACCCTCTAAATTCTTGCATTTGTATTGGTCTATGTTGAAGAATTTTTTGAACTTTTTTGATGGGGCATCATACATCAGTACAATAGCTTTATCTTTGTTATCTCCCAATTTTTCATGGAACCATTTACGCTTGTAGTCGTCTATAAAAAGGCATCAAGATTGTGTTCCATTTCCAAAATATATGCAAAGTGATAGTGTTACCATCAAGTTAATGATAATTTTCAAAGAGGGGGGGGTGAAAATATAGCTATGCCCCTTGTTGTTTACAGAGATAGTGGGTCCTCACACAGTGTTGCCATTTTCCACTACCTATGGAAAAGGCTGTATGGCATAAAAATGTAAAGTTTCTTACCATAATAAACAACTTCATGATCATTACTAGAAGTCTCACTAGCAGGTGTCACCAGAATACAAAGTATCTTTGCTACCTCCCTTGACCTACATGATATCAATTTTTTGGCTACTTTATGACTATTTTCTGTAAACATTTCAGCAGATTTATTGGTTTTCATATGTTCCATACAAGACATAATTTCCAAGATTTCCTTGTCATTTTTAATATCTGGGTATGTCATAGCTTCCTTTAGCTCATGTGCAGACATGGTTGAAAAGCTTATGCAGTGCAATATTTTCAGCAATGGGTTTGATACTGTGTCTGGAATCTGTTTACTATTTTCATACCACCATCTCATTGCAGTTTGAAAGACAGACAGTTCATTGTCAGTTTTCAAGTTTATATGACCTAAAACCAAAATTGATAATTCAACCCAAACTTTAAGGCCTTCAGTTAAATTTTCATTACCTAAATAATTACAAACTTCTTGAAATGTTAATTCATAAATGCCTTCAGATTCTTCAGTGTTCTTCAATATCATAAATTCACTCAAAGCTAAAAACTTTGCTTTCAAATGTAAGGGCTTTATCCCCAACTGTTCTGTTACTATCCAGATTCTGATACTATTCTGAGGACACAATAGTTCCATCAATCTCCTGATACAAAAGGTTTTAATTTTTTCAAATTGTAACATACTAGCAGCCTGGACAACTGCTAAGGTATGTCCTTCCTCAAGAACAACATCATGTTCATCCCATAGTATTGTTAATATTATATCCATTGCCTCAATATTAACTCCCTGTAATTTAAAGTAATAATCATGAGCACAACATAAAATACAGGGTAGTATCTTTATCAAAGTTATAATAATAGTGGCTTTAATTTTAAAAAATTATTTGTTAGTTTGATATTCCATACAGGACTGAAGATCAGTTAGTACATCAGTCAATACTATTAGTAGTAGTATCACTTTATATATACATATATAAAATCTCTTTATTTAGAAATCCTAATTAACTAGTACAGCAACAATTGAATCTAATTGTAATAAATTTAGCACTGCTACCAGATCTTACATGTAAGACATATTTTGAAATAACCAACTGACTCTGTGTACATTCATTGTACCCTCATATTTTCATTAATTGTTTGCACATAATCATCTAAATAATTTTATATTATTCTTTTTACAATCTTGTAAACAAGTACCACAGTTGTTAAATTTGTTTGTGAATCAATGCCAATTCTGCAGCCTTTTAACTCAACTACAATAGAAAAAAATTTGGACCATCATCCTGGCATAATATTGCAAAAGTATTCAAAATCATACATTGAAATGGCCAAACTTGTATCTATTGATAATAATATTAGTACTGTCCTATTTCTAATATACACAGTGTTTTCCAAAAATTCAAATAAATTTCAAAATTGTGTTTTTTAGGACTTTTTATACATGTCTGGTAAGCTTAAGCCTCTTTGTTAAAATGTTGCTTGAATAAACATTGAATTTGAAGAAACAAAATGTGTAACAGCTATTTTATCCATAATTATATTTTTAGGGTCAGCATTCATATTTTCCTAGAACAAACACCACAAATTACAGAATACTTTATTTATTTTGGTAATTTGTGAACTACACTTGTCCCAAAGCTACCTTTGAATTAGGAACAAGTTACCTTTGAATTAGGAACAACTAGAAAAACCAGTGATTTATTTTGCAAAAACAATATTAACCACCATCAAAATGGAAATATTTGTTAAAAGTAGCAATGTCTTACTCACCTCTATGGATACCTTAGATTTATTTTTCTCTATGAAATTTCCCTCAAACATTGCTTTGAAGTAGTCACTGTTTGCAATCAGAAGTTCTTTTTTGCAGATAATTGATTTTCCCTCTATTTCTAACTCGATATCGGTGCCCGGCTCTTCAGGCCCAGAAAATGTTTTCATACTCATTTTTACAAAGCAAATAGTAACTGTGAAAATGTGGAATAATGCTGGGGACTTTAAACAGTTGAAGCTCAAAAACATGCCATGTGACGGATAGTCACCTTAATGTTTTTTTTTTGTCAACATCCGTAAACATAACCTACGCTACAGCGTTGCCGAATGTACAGCCTTGTACAAATAACTACCTACTACCAGGTTGAATACGTTAATGAAAGCTGCTACATATAGAAAATGAAATCTTCACACCTTAAAATTGTTCTACAGGGTGATTCAGAAATATTTCTAGGCATAAAGTGTATCAAAATATGAGTCCTAAAATGGCCTCTTAATGGGATACAGGTTCGAAGTTGTAATTTCGACAGTGAAGAAAATATTTATACCTTCAGAGTATATCAAGATATTAACATAAAATTTTGTACATGTAGTGTTATACGCATAGACAATACATGCAAAAAATTTCGTGATTGACTGATTTGAGGTAAGAACTGTACAAAAACTTCAACCCATTATCTACTTTGAAAATAATTACTTACACTGAAGCTAGACATTGAAAACTGTACACCATATGTAGTGTGTTATCTCACCATAGCGTTATGTCCATGTTTTAACCTTGTTCAGAGTTATTATTGGCACAGAAATTTACACATCTTAGTAGTAGGACCTGTTTGTTTGTTTTTTCATTTTTGGGCGCATTCTAGAAATACTGTCACGTTTTTGTGAATCCCCCTTTTAAAGTTATTTATTCTAACAGCCTGTAGAACTCGTCATAAGAAGTTGGTACGAGGGATGTCTTTTAAGTTTTGCATATGGAAATAAAACAACACGGTAGGGTAGTTTTAAATGACTTTATTGTTTTTCGAAGTATTCTCCACGAAGATGAATACACATCTGCATGCGCCCGAACTAATTTTCGATGCACTCTTATTCCACTCGTTTGCTGGCAGATCAAAAACGGCATTTTTGAATGCGTCAACTGCTTCTTCTGGTGACTGGAACCTTTGATCACGCAGTCTGTTTTTAATTTTCGGGAAAGTAAAGAAATCGTTAGGACTTAGATCTGGACTATATGGAGGATGGTCCAATAATTCCACGTTTTCTTCCGTTAAATACTGCCTTGTTTTTTGGGCTGTGTGTGAGCTTGCATTGTCGTGGTGGAGGATGATTCTTCTTTCGGGGTTGATTTTTCGAACCTCGGTGATGACTTTTGGCAAACAGTAACAGTAAATCCACGATTCATCACCACTAACAATGCTGTACACATTTTTGGAGTTTCCGGAATTGAAACAGTCAAGCGTTTTTTGCTCTTCAGTCAACAGGTGTGGTATCCAACGAGAAACTAATTTTCTTACTCCTAATTCTTCATGTACAATTTTTTGAATTGAGGTCTTTGATATCTTCACGGACGCCTCAATCTGGCGATATCTCACATGTCCTCCCTGGAATCTTCGCTAAGACTCACCCGTCCACGTTTGAATTCTCCATACCAACGGGAAATTGTCGACTGATATGGCGCTTCGTTGCCGAAAACAGACAGTAACTCAGCAAGGCATTCTCGTTGCGATAATTGTCTCTGAAAGTTGTAATAAATTATGGCGCGAAAATGTTCTCGGTTGAGTTCCATTTTTCTGATGACTTGGTGACACTTAAAAATTCACTGTAGTGAGAACACTGCACGTCTTGTTGTGAAACTTTGAATTTAAGTTTACTAAAGAGTGAGGTTAAGATTCAGTACTGACGTTCGATCCGCGCGCACTACTATGTTTCTATATGCAAAACTTAAAAGACATCCCTCGTATACCAAAAATCACCTATATAAAATTTGCATAATAAGCGAGTTAGTTTACATTATTAAAAATTACTTTAAAAAATCATCAAGTTAAATGGATACCGTTTTTACAAAAACTGTTCAAGATTGTCCCCATTTCTTCGATTATGCAAAATCTTGCTCGGTGAATACACGACTCTTTACAAGCTTAGAAAATAAAATCCTGGTGTCCACGAATGAAATCACAAGCATTTTCAGTGCGCTGTGGAAGTTCTCGTCTAACATGTGGCGGAGCCCCATCATGTATGAACCACATATTCTGTCTCACATTTAGCGGAACATCTTCTAGTAATTGTGGCAGATTATGTCGAAGAAAATCTACATAAATTTCACCGGTCAGTCCAGGTAGAAAAAAGTAGAGTCCAATAAGCATGCCATTTACCACGCAGCCCAAATATTTAATGAAAATCTGTTGAAAATGAGTTTCTTTTACAACATGCGGATTTTCTACTGCCCAAACATGATTGTTATGGAAATTGTGCACTCTATTTCGTGTAAATGTGGCCTCGTCTGTGCACAAAATTAGTTTCGTAAAATCTTCGTTTCTGCCGAACTGTTCTAGAAACCACTGGCAAAATGCAACTCTTCTCTTTTGATTCAAGTTGCGGCTCTCCAGTTCCATGCGCAAATATTAATAATTATATTATTTTATTTTCAAAACTTATAAAAATATTATATATAAAAAAGTTTATTACTTCATTTCGAAAATTTGAGGCAATATCGCGATGAAACCAGTGCAACTATTGATACAAATTACTTCAGCATTACTATAAAAAAATGAAGGATGGGTTTGCTGAGAGATTGGAGCAAATCAAAACAAACGCAATTACTCTGGCGTTCACAGTAAATCCTCTCAACACAAATATAAATGAGATCAAACATTGAGCCATTTGAAATTGATGCTTTCTTTTATAAGTAAGGAGAGGTGCATAAATCGCGAGCTTCTGGACTAACTCGAACGTCACAGCTTGATTAGCGATAGGCAGTATGGTTTTCGGCACCAGCGATCCACAGGGGACCTCCAAGCTTATGTCACGCAATTGTGGAGTAAACTCATCCAGTGTTATGGTGAGGCTTATGTCGTTGCTCTTGACATCACGAAAGTGTTCGATCAGCTGTTGCACGCTGCCCTCTTAAGCAAAATTCCTTTCTGCGGCCTCCCAGAAAAGCTTAACATATGGGTGGCTGACTTTATCTCTGGCCGCAAGATATCTGTCGTAATTGACGGTTTCTCTTCTTCATCCCACAACGTCAACGCGGGTGTTCCCCAGGGAACGGTCTTGGCACCGACACTGTTCCTCTTACATATCAACGACCTCCTTTCCTGCACGATCCACAGCTTCGATGATGACAGCACTCCACATGCAGGAACTCAAAGTGACAAGCCGATCTCTGCCGCTGAGCTGGAAAAAAGAAGGCTAACGACGACTTCCTCTCTGACTAAAGACCTGGAGGTTATCACTGCTTGTGGACGCAACAATCTTGTACAGTTTAGCGACTCCAAAGCACAGTACTGTACCTTGACGAACAAAAAGCGTCCTAGTGCTCATCCGGTTTCGATGGATGGTCGAGTTCTGCCAAAGAGCCATTCATTTCGGCTGGTCGGAGTCCAGATCACCGAGGACCTGGTCTGGCACGAACACATCTCGTCAATAGCGACAGCTGCTGGGGAAAAACTAGGCTATTTGTTTAGGGCTAAAAATTACTTTTCCCCGAATGACCTTCTCACTCTATACAAGGCCTAGCCTCGAGTATTGCTCACACGTTTGGGGTACTGCCGCCCCGACTACATATTATTTATGCTCGATGCTGTCCAGAGGAGGCCTGTCCGACTGATCGATGACTCTTCTCTCTTCTACCGCTACACCAACGGGCTTTGCTCCTCAGAGCTCTCTTCCATGATGCAACCGCGCGATGTGCCTGCCAGACCGATCCGCCTGACTTTGGCCTTCCATCCTAACCGTGTCGAACTTCGTACATCTAGAACTGGACGATACGAACGCTCCTTTGTCCCGAGAGTGTCGAGATTGTGGAACGATCTACAAGAAGAAGCATTCTTCAGTTCAAAAATCGAATCAACATTTCTTTGGGATCATCATAGCGGCCCTGTGTCCCGGTATTTAGGTTGCGGCTGCTTCGGTATAAAAAAAGAGTTGGAGGTCCAGAAAAGCATGCACGTTTTTTATATATATTCCAACTACCATGAAGGCCTAAGGCCTAAACACCCATGGGGTACCGTGGGGCTATAGGGGGCTCCAGGGGAAAGAGAGAGATCCGCCGGGTGGTACCTCTGAGTTCGACGGTCAGAGACAGTCTACCACCTACGGACAATCACATCCATAGCCAAGAGAAAAATTACTCATGGGATGGGATTCGAACCCGCACAGCGCACGACGACTGATCAGGAGACCGAAGAGTCTACTACTGCGGCCACCGCTGCTGCCTGAACGCTGAACAAGTGGACAGCTCTAAAAGAAAAGCCGCGAATTGAGGAACTCATATTTGAAGTATGGAATAGTCTTCCAGAATGCTTCAGTGAGGTGAAGAAGTTGGCATTTGGAGTGCTGACGATCTTCGGGTCAACATATTCGTGCGAGCAAGCGTTCTCTTGCAAGAATACTCGTGTAATAAAAAGTAAAATAACCCAACTAACAAATAAAAATTTAGAGGCGTGCTTGAAACTAAAAACAACAAGTTAAGAGAACCTAGGGTAATCTTCAGGTTGTAACAATTGTACCCTTTGATAATGATAATTCTGTTCTTGTCGTATTGTCTTCCACACTTTACTATAAGAAACTTCAACTTGAGCTGCTTGGCTTCAGTACTCATTGTTGGCTCGTCTTCGACCATTTCAAAAATCGATTATGTGCTGCAATAGCGGTACAACTCAAAAAATTATGTTTTGAGATAAGTAGGTTTAAAGTTTTCATTGCTAAGGAAAATGTATAAGAAATGTTTTAGTTTGCTGAAACGAAAATTATTTTCAAATTGATACCTGCTCTAAAAGGTCGTTTAATAACGAGTGTATAATTTTGTTTCTACTTTTTTGAATGTATCTTTTTAATGCCAATTTTGAAAAAATGTTTAGAGTTATACCGCTATTGCAGCATTTCATTAAATATACTAACTAGGCAATAAAGATTGTAGTAACGATAAAAATTGCAAAATCCAAATTGAACTTTTTTAAGACACCGACCCAACTCAAAACGTGTCACTGTTGATGACAAAAACGTGCCCTAACCCTATCAAGCGTTGGACGCAAACTGAGTAGTGTCAATAATCAGTGTTGTTCTCGATAGATTTTGAATTGTGCAAAGATGTGAATAGAAATTGTGCATATTTCTTTAAAGATGTGCATATATGTATACTGATTTTCTGGCGAAACCGCAAATTTCACACGGTAGTGGACGAGAATATCAAAAAATCTGTGTAACAACATTATTTTTTAAAATTATTAATTTTTTACCATTTCTTTTATTATGCAACTTTTACATAGGTGATTTTTGGTATATCAACTCCTTTTGACGAGTCCAACAAGCAGTTAAAATGAATGACTCAACATTTGGCAAGATCCAAGAACTGGGAGAAACCACCCCAGCTTTGCAACAGGCAGGACATTGCGGCCCTGTTCTGAAAAGTAACATGCAGGTCCTTATTTAAAATTCAGAATTACTACAAGATTCACTTGTTTGGACATAAATAATCAAGTTTTGTAAGTAGAAACATTTTTTATTAAACGATATACATATATCTTAATTATATGAAAAAATCAAACTCAAGTAGAACGTATTTTATTTAATCTTACAATGGATATTATTTTGGCTCAGTTTTCCATCACAACACAGCAACATTAGTATCAAACTAGATATAAAAACTTTTGAAAATAATTAATCATTGAAGCTGCCTAAATACCTAACAATAACATGAAACAAAATAACTTCACAGACCATAGTTAGGCACCGTCGAAACGGATGCCTAAACACTGGAGACCAATGATTAGTAGCAATTTGGTTAACTTGCTACTCATTTATCCTATAGCACATACTTTGCACATAGAATAAAAGTTGCATCTGTAACAAGTGACTATGATCAATGATAGGCATATTCCACCTAAATATGTTAATCAATTCATTCTTGAAAAATAAAATAAAAATAAACTTTTAACTTAATAAAACGATTTCGAAGGTCAAAACCTAGAACCATCGACCTCTAATGTTACTGGGGTGATTCAGAAAAACCTTCATTCGCTTTCAGATATACGGCAAACGTTATCCAATGACCTTGTAATGGAGCTTATCCTTTCTTCAAGTTTCCTCTGTTTCTTCCTCTTCTTCTTCAGTTTCTGCTTAGTGGACCTTCCTGGAAAGTCAGTCACGGAAAAAGCACCACCTTCAAAATCGCAATCATCAAAAAACTTCCTTTTTTTCATCTTGATTCTTTCGTCCATGTCCACGGCGTTTTCATCGTCTTCAAATTCGCCATCGTTTAATTCTCGTAAGAGTGATACACTCTGAGTATTTTTTCTTGAGTCTAACTTTCGTTTTTTCTTTAGCTTCTTCCTCTCTGCTTTAGAAAGATCGCTGATTTTGAACTGTGCTACTTCGAAACTCCTGTGATTGTCCTCCAGATCGTTGTTGTTGTTCTCAATGTCTTGTTCTATACCTAAATCAACAAATATTTTGGAGTTAAGCATTGTGCAAGCCATCAGACTTTATTAAAATCTTTTTTTTGTTTTTTTGTTTTGGAGACAAATGCTTATTGCGTTGGGGCAATGTTGATAACTTTATTATTTCAACGTTTTTATCCGGCAATTAACGATCAAGAAGGACTGGCCAAAAATTGAGACTAATAGCCTCACCCGATTTTCATTCCTTTCAAGTTATAGCGTAGCGCGGGGGCGTAGCCAATAAGGTGTTTATAGGGGTTCAAACCCTCACAACCTTTTTGCTCTTGCTCTTCTGAGGATAGTAACCTATTGTACTTAGTGGCTATGCCTTTGTTAATTTAGAGAAGATGAGTACTTTTAATCATACGTGTACAAGCTAATGTTGAAAGTTCCAACACAATTGTACTATTGTAATAAGTTAGTGCAATTATATAGGGAGTAACCATTGACAGGAGGTTGGATTGGAGAGCGCATATCAAGAGTCTCGCGGCGGGCATATCTAGGGTCTGCTACGCTATGCGGGTGGTTTCAAGTAGGGTAGGTTCTGATGTGGCTGTAACGCTATATCTTGCTTTTATACACTCAAAGTTAAGGTACGGTTTAATATTCTGGAGAAATTTCACAGACATTGACAGATTTTTAATACTTCAAAAAAGATGTATTGGAAGTACTGGGTGCGCCATCTATTATTTTTTTTTACCTATAAGTTTATGTGTTACCATGTGAGTCAAAAGTCATGTGGTATGCATAAATGAACTTTCAAAGGTGTGCCATTTATAATCATGGATTCATTTAGAACACAACAACGCATTTTGGTTATCCAAACGTATTACGAAAACGGTCGAAATATAAAAAATACTTTTCGCAAACTTCGCACTAGTTTTGGCCGACATGGACGCCCTACAGAGCCTGGAATTCGTTGGACTGTTAATCGTTTTGAGGAAACTGGTTCAACTGAATGTCGTAGACCATACTACAGTATATTTAGATAAGAGATAGACCGGATGTAAACAAAAGGTTCGGGTGATTTTCACGCTAACGCCGCCGTCTCGACGTAAAACAGGAGCCCTCATTGGTCAATTCGCAATTAAATGCCTATGCCGAGCGGCAGAGTCACATTCAGGTTCAGACGTGTTACGTATGTCGTGTGCATCATTGCAATTTGATATTTCTTTGGACGTTTTCGTTTGTTATCTTATTAAGTTGTTGAGTTTGTCGTTGTTATTGTTATACCTTGTTATTGATTGTTATTGTTATCAACTGCTTGCGCAAAATGCCCAGTAGTACAGATACTGCCGATGAAGTTGTGAACTCCTGTAGTCCACCTAGGAAACGCTCTAAAAAAAGACACCTGAGTGCAGAAATGAAAGAGGTCATTTTGAATATATGTATATATGATCGAGCGCGAGGAGAACGAGGCATCAACCATCAAAGAAATTGTTGTGAAGGTTTCTCACAAAGTTGAGGTGTGTCGCGCATCAGTGTTTAATGTGTTAAGACAATACAAAAAAAATCACACCTTTTCTGAGCCAATGACCAGTAAACATCGCAAAAGTATTGTTAAATCATTGGATGAAGCTGATAAGCATGCGATTAGGAGGAAAGTGCATGAATTCTTCTTTAGGAATGAAATACCTACTATAGATAAAGTACTGCAGGAGGTAAATGGAGATACAACGTTGCCAAATTTCAAACGATCAACTTTCCATGCGTTACTGAAGCATTTAAATTTCAAATGGAAAAAACGGGGTCGTAATAGTTTACTACTGGATAGAGAAGAAATTGTGCTATGGAGGAGGGATTATTTAACAAAAATTGGGAAATATAGAAATCAAAACAGGAAGATTTATTACCTTGATGAAACGTGGGTAAACGCAGGACACACTACAAGTAAAGTATGGGTTGATGATTCTGTAACTTCATCCAGGAGGGCCTTTCTAGATGGACTGTCCACCGGATTAAAAAATCCAGCAGGTAAATACGAGTAATAGACAACAATCGGATGTTTTTCAAACCTTGGGAACAAGGTTCTAAACATTAATTCCAGGGGGCAGATAAAACATATTACAAGTAACAAAACTTTTATAACTTTCGATAAAATGCGTGGATGTTTTATAGTCATTTTCATTTATTAGAACTTTTTTAAGCCATGTTTTTATGTGTTTTCGATATTTCAATAATTTTTTAATATAATCTTAAAATATGTCGAATATTATAAACTTAAAAAAAGTTACTAAGTTTTATATTGTGTACCGTTCCTAATATTTCTAATCATTTTAATTCATACTTTAAGCTTTATAAAGTTATAATTTGTTAATATTAATATTTGCGCGTATTTCAGGTTCCTGATCATTCATTTTTTAAAGGTTTATAACTTTAAATTAAATTGTGAAGCGCTGAGTAATCATACGACGTTCAATATTCTTTCTTTCAATATGACTAAATAATCCCAATTATAGCAATCTGATACTCATGTCTCAATGTTTTTTCGCTGAATGTGATGAAAACATTTGAAAAAGGTTCGCTTATTGAAATAAATCTACACCAGTTAGTACTTCGATTTCCAGGTAAAGGGAAAAGGCTCATTATCTGCCATATTGGCAGTGAGGATGGATTTGTTGTTGATGGTCTGTGGTGCTTTGAGTCTAAGAAAACTGGAGATTACCACGAGGAAATGAATGGCGAATCGTTTGAACAGTGGTTTTCTAAAAATTTTACCGAACTTAGAGGAAAACGCAGTAATTGTGTTGGATAATGCGCCTTATCATTCTCGAAGAATGGAGAAGGTCCCAACAACGGCTTCAAGGAAAGTTGATGTTCAAAATTGGCTCCGCTCGAAAAATATCAACTTTGAAGAAGCAATGATGAAAGTACAATTATTAAGAATTGCCAAGGATCACAATGCGGAATATCAAAAATACGCCATTGACGAAATGGCATCAAGTCAAAATAAAACTGTGCTCCGTTTACCTCCATACCATTGCGAGCTCAATCCCATTGAGCTCATATGGGCAGAGGTTAAAAATTATATAGCTAAGCACAATACAACTTTTAAATTTTGTGACCTCAAAGGACTTTTCAAAGAAGCACTAGAATTAATAACAGCGCAAAAATGGGAAAACTGTATTAAGCACGTGAAAGACAAAGTTGAAAAGAGAATGTGGGAACTGGACAATATTTTAGAGGAACAAGTCGAGCCATTCATTATTGACGTTGGTGCTTCAGGCAGTAGCGATGATGAAAGCTCATCAAGCTCATATTTCCAATAAAAGATGTCGTTCATCAAATTCGGTAAGTTATAAGTAATTATAAAGCTACTGTATTTTTTAATTAATTATTGACATTTTTGAACCCATTTTGGCAAAACCTATTCAAGAATCTACTTTCTGACAATGTTCAACCATGCACATTTTTTTACGTTTTGAACGTTTTAATTTGGTTACATATTTACCTAGAAATCAAAAAATATACTAATCAATATTCTAAAAGCAATTTTAAGAGATATACGATTATTTTTAATTTAGGCTAATTTAAACGCCATTTTGAGATTGTATTCGACTGTATTTCACCAAACATCAGGCGGCATCCGAAGCTGGAAATCGAAGCGAAAATTTTGAAACCCTTATGTATATTTACATCATTATATATTTCTTACCCCACCCCCACACGATCCTATATCCATCACCAATCGTATACACATCGAATTGTGCTAATTTACTACAAAGTTACGCAAAGCAGCATCTACTATCTAAAATATGTACTGCGTGACTCTTAATACGTCCCTGCCGAATGTTACAGCGTTCGATATCACGTGGTCTTGTTTATGTCCGGTCTATCTCTTATATGAATATACTGTAACATGCTCGTCCAGCTCGATGAAAGCTGTAAACCGATATTCATAAAAAATAAACTATTAACTGTGATCAGTATGTATATACCAGATTCATTTATGTTTGTATCCAATAAGAGACCTTTTTGAAAACTTATCAAGCAGCCATAAATATGAAACGAGACATAAAGCTGATCTACTGCCTGACAAATGTAATTATAGTTATATACAAAAGAATGTACAGTATATGATTGTTAAAATACAGGGTTTGTCCTGAAAGTAATAGGACTCATTTTCTTCCGCCATGACTGTACTTCGGAGCGTGCGCGCACCGACTGGATTCGGGAGAGGGCGTTCCTAGCTAACGAATGAGCGGCTGGTCAGTTGTCTCCGAGTACTTTGGGAGTCAGGACAGGCATTTTCGCGCGACGTGTTTCTGTGAGTGGTGCAAGCCGAAAATGCAGAGGTACGCGATTAAATTCTGTGTGAAACTAGGTAAATCTGCGACAGAGACGTTTGATATGATCAAGCAGGCTTACCCAGGTGTTGCTTTAGCAAGAAGTGGTGTGTTTCGGTGGCACCAGGCCTTTTTGGAGGGCCCGGAAGAGGTCGCTGATGAAGACCGTGCTGGAAGACCTTCGACTTCGACAAACACCGATAATGTGACTCGTGTGCGCAAAGTTTTGAACTCAGACCGTAGACTAAGTATTCGTTTAGATGCTAAATTTACCAAAATCTGTGGTCCATGACTGTGACACAGCATTTGAACATGCGCAAGGTGTGCGCGCAGATGGTCCCAAAAGTGCTCACTGACGACCAGAAATTGCGGCAAGTGGAAGTGTGCCAAGAAAATTTGAACATGTGTGAAAGTGACCCCTAATTTTTGAATAACGTAATCATGGGTGACGAGTCGTGGATCTTTGAATATGATCCCGAGACAAAGAGGCAATCTTCCGAGTGGCACACGACGGTGTCTCCTCGCCCAAAAAAGGGAAGAATGAGCAAATCCAAAGTGAAAACGATGCTCATTGTCTTTTTTGACATCAAAGGCATCGTCCACCATGAATTTGTTCCTCCTGGACAAACCGTCAACGCCAAGTTTTGCGTGGAAATGCTCAGGAGACTCAAACGAAGGGTCAGTCGGGTCCGACCAGACATCGCAGCCGA